AAAAAAACATTAATACCATTCAAGTCACAACACACTCGCTCGCCTTAACCCTAAAATCTGTTATCGAGAAGTGCATTAATAATGTTATCGCTTTTTAGATAATTACTTTGGCCCACCTAGGGAGAGTACGACCTAATTAGTTGTATTTTTTTAGAGGAAATACGGTCGAATTATCCCTCCTGTTTATCTCCCCTAATTTATAAAAAAATGTAGCATAAAACACACTTACTGTGAGAAATATATATAGGAAAATTAATTATAAGAAACTTTTGAACGCGACGGATAAATCCAGTCGATCGTAGTGTAAAAACTTCAAGTAATTACTTTAAAAATTATGATTTTTTTCCTTGTATAATTGCCGCCAGCAAAATACAGTTTAAACGGTGAGTCCCCTCAACGTTTGTCGATTGGGGGTGGGGGGGGGGGGGGAAGGGTTACGTAATAATGGGGAAAAAACTACTTCGGGGTATTGGTTAAGGAATTAAAAGAATGTTATACACTAAATGACAAACGCGTCCGTTTTTATTTCGGTTTAAAACCAGCTTTTCTTAACCTTTTTGGAGGTACCTTTTATTTTGGTTTAAGCCAGTGATCCTCAACCTTTTTGGAGGTACCTTTTATTTTGGTTTAAGCCAGTGTTCCTCAACCTTTTTGGAGGTACCGAACCCCACCAGTTTCATAAACACGATCACCAAACCCTTTTTAATAGTTCTATCTTCCGCACTGACAAAATACGACACTTGAATCATGTCGGGTGTGTCTTGACCGTCATCGAACCCCTGGGACGGACTCGCCGAACCCCTGGGGTTCGATCGTACCCAGGTTAAAAAACACTAGTTTAAACAGAGGTTATTTGGAGGAGTGTGTACTTCTTTTTAAAAATGATGCAGTTGTTGGGGGGGGGGGGGGGGGGGTAAGGGGAGGAAGGGTCCGTTTTCGAACGTCCCAATAATTAATAATAAATTAGTTATACTTCTTTTAAATTCCATTTTTATCTTTTAACTTTTAATTAAACTCATGTTTAAAAAAAAAACACGTAGGAATTAGGAACAATTAGGAAATAAACATATGTTTCCCTTCCCGTTGTCCAATTAATACAGAGAAGTGGGAGGGTTGCAACAATCTAACAGATGCGTTAATTAATTAAATCCTGATAACAACGCAACTGTGAGAAAAAAATTCGAATATTACAGTCGAATGTAAGTAAATGATCCAATTTTGTTTGCAATGATGTCAAACCATATTTTAACGTCTGAAATGTGTATAGTTTGTTCTATGGTTAAGTTTTTATTTCCGCTCCGGGAAGGTGGTGTTTTAATTTTTAATGATAGGATTTAATGAAGTTTCTAAACCTGGCCCAGATAGGTAGAGTTTATTTATTCTATCACTAAGACATTGTATCTAGCTTTTTTGGTTTAGGAGCGATTGTTATCTACAAGGGAATAGTGACGGGGATTTGGGGGGGGGGGGTGTACACTTAGATTTGAACTCAAGACTTTCGGGTAAATTACACCCGCGTTCATACTCGACCACACGTTAACCCGACACACTGATCGGGCTTAGTCGAAGATTTTAGTCACAGTTACAATCAACTCACCCTGACGGCCGCTGGGTAGGTCAAGTAGAGTTTTTTTTTTAGTCTGGCATTTTCTTTGATTACGATTTTAAATATCTTAATTAACAATAGCGGAAGTAACTTTTCTTTTTATTTTATGTTTACCAAATAAATAAAAATATTCACATTTGGTTTAGAAAAATACTAGCTGGCAAGTAAGAAAACGAGAAGTTAGTGACCTACTTACAAGCCATATTGACATAGATGTTATTGGTTTTAGCTACTTATAAGAATACGTGACCTCAAAGTCCTAAATAATAGAAAAGAAAAAGAACAAAACAATGCTTTTGCAAATAAAACTTTTATCCCCGAAAGTAAAAATAAATAGAAAAACTTTTAAATTTCCAAGTTGCATTTTTTTTCCAATCATTCCAAAAAAAAAAACAAAAAAAAAAAATATTGGAGTGATTTCCCCTCACATCTATGACGTAGTTCGCAGACCGGAGCTGAACAACTGCGCCACAAGAGCCGGGCTATAAGGACGCTATGCTAATATAATAGACCGGACCGATTCGATTATATAAATAGACAAGCGCGGTATGAATAATTTAGTCTGACAGATTCGATTCTTCGTAGCAAAAATTGGCCAAAACGATATTTATTAAAAGAGTGTGGGCAATTTAGAATATTCAAAGACAAATATTCCTTTGTGCAAATCGAATGTATGTAAATACATTGGGATCGATAGATTCCGAGCGAGAGGTCGTTCAAATGTTTCCTATTTTGTAAACTTTGAGGCCCGATTTTTATGCAATGGATGTCAAAGGAAAAAAAAATCTAGCGATTTAGTTGTAGAGATTTTATTGTCTATTGATCACTGGGACAGCTTTCAATGGGGAAGAAAAACGTTTTTTTTGTTTGTTTTTTACTTTACAGAAGAATATCACTAGCTTCAATGATAAAAGTTTTTGCCATTGAAGTTACTTTATGTAACGGCGTGGTCTAGCGGTAGAGCGCTATACTGCTAACCCCAAAGCCTCGTGTTCTAATCCTGATTTAAGTCAGTAAAATGTCCCTTAGTCCATCCAGCTCTGATGGATACCTAACTCACGTTAGGGAAGTAAATCAGACTGGACATACTGCTGACCATACTATCCTTTCATATACCAAGGTCACAAAATCAGGTGAACTCTACTTCACTTACCCCATGGACCATCATGTTAGAAAAGGGGACTTACCTTACTGCAATTTCTTTGCCATTAACCAAAGCGTTTAGAGATTAAGAAACGGCATTGTTGAGTTAAAAGGTCAAAGGCTAAACCAGTTTCTATTAATAAGTTAATTGAGTGCCCCAACCAAGGAAATGACCTTTATTATAATGACTGCTTTGTGTTCATAATGTTAACTCGATGACTATTGAACTGACTTACTTTCGGTTTGACTGACTGCTTCGATCGCTTTAAGATGAAAACTTTTTTGTTTAATGTTTACAAAAATGTGTCTTGTCTACAGTTTCACAAAGTTTTTCGCCTGCCGCTTGATGTACAGTTGATTTGTTTAACTAAAAATCGCAACTAAAAATGACAATTTATATCTCAATGGTATCATCTATCTATGATGATGATCTTAATGTTGCTAGAATGTTACCCCCCTTACAGCCTCCTTTGTTTTTCTTTTTGCTTCTACCATCATACAGCTCAAAACATCCAGCCTATGATGAAAAACTTGCGCCCGAAACTACGTTCAAACTAATTTCTAACGAATATAATAAGAATGATAACATAATAAAGACATCCAATAAAGAATTTATGAGGCCGCATTTTACTCTTGTCTATATAAAGGCTATAAGGAGAGGAATCTCATTCTGTCATATATATATATATATATATATATATATATATATATATATATATATATATATATATATATATATATATATTATATAATATATATATTGACGGAGTGGCCTATCGGTGGAGAACTAGACTGCTAACCCGTAAGTCTCGAGTTCGAATCCGGGTTAGGGTCAGTAGACCATCCCTGAGTCCACCCACCTAACGTTAGGGAAAGTAAAGCCGGCTGGGCATAGTGCTATCCCTTCATATGCCTAGGTCACAGAAACAGGTGAACTCTACTTCACTTGCTCCTTGGACCCTCAGGTTCGGAATGGGAACTTTACTTTTTTTTTTTATTTAACCCAATGTATTCACACAAAAAATGTTTACTGTTGAGTAGGGGGTATATGAGAGAAAGAACATACACTTGTAGGCTTAGGGTTACGAAGGTGTGATAGAATGAAAAAGGATAAAATAACTTTCAAAAATTGTGGGGAAAAAAATAAGTTAAAAAAAAAACACAACTTGAAGAAGTAAAAGAGCGAAACTGAATTCCCTAAAAATCTATGCAACACAATTGCATGTTATTGATTTTTGAGAAATCTGGAAAAAAGAGAAACTGGGCGGTGTTGTAAATTCGCTAATTTTTTTTATTTTCAAGTTTTTCATCCAGTCCATAGTTGATAACTGGTGAAAATACACGCGCCACACACGTTGCCTACGTCACGCCGAAATCCACTTGTGAGCACATAAAAAAATCGAGTCCGTAGGTCCGTGATTTTGCATTATTTATTGCCTCCCCTGCCGAGGGTGTAAAGACATGGTTCGAGTTATCGGTCGTGAGTTTTGTCCCGTTTGAACCACGAGTTGTCGTTCGTGTTTTCTAGATAGATAAAAAAAAAGTGTAATTATAGCTAGTCGTTTGGGCGCATGTAATATATAGGGTCGATGATCTCTTTAGTACTATATACTCGACCCCCCCCCTTCCCCCTTCTCAACGTCTTCCTCCCAACCGGCCCCTCCTTTCGAAAGTTTAAATGGAAGCAATTTTCATGGTATATGGGTTTGAGTGCTGAAGTTAATTTTTTTTTTTTTGAATACTGTATAATTTTTTTTTCTCGCCTCAGACATGTAATTTACAGCGTCAGTTGTGTGTTCGCTTTAGCATTACAGTTTTCATCATCGGCTTGTGAGGACTGATACACATTTACAATATTAATAATTCTGTCTTACTTGTAGCCTACTTTCATTCATTTAAGATGGTTTACTTATACATAGATCTAATACAAAACGTCTAAATATTTAAAAAATATAAAAAATAATTACTGTATAAATTTACAAAATTTAAAAACAACGTTTTTTTTAATTTATTTCTTTAATTTAAAAACATAAAGTAATAAGACGCTGTAGAAATATGACCCACCGACTAAATAAAAAATATTTGACTGTTTTATAAAATTCATAGTTTATAAAAAAAAATAAAGTTCCTAAACTCTATATGTAGCACTGTGGTTTAAAAACGTTTTTATCTATTTTAAATAACTTTTGTATTACTGTTTTTGTTTTAATATATTTACTTTTTTTTCTTTTTAATCTCATGTAGGTTGCAGTAAACAATTGACACAGTCCACCTAACAATGGTAGACATTTTCCAGCGAATTATCTCCCTTCAATGCCAACCGATTATCTCCCCTGCGTGAGACCGACAATGGTAGTGGTGCCGACTGTGATGAATACATCAAAAAAGAAACTTCAATAAAAATCTTCTTTTCACCTAACAACAGCACCAGATAAGAAACGAAATTGAAAATAAAAATCAAAGAATAGTATGGGATCGACGACGGTTGGTAAATAAATAAATCAGATCATTAAATGATCTTTTAACTACAAATAAATGATCTGTTCTGCATATAAATGGTGATTAGCCACGTGACACATTGCATCATTGTATTGCAGATCTTGTATTTCTTCAACTTACTGAATGATAACTATGGCAGACATGACACCATAGCGATCTGAATTTTTTTTATATTTAAAAAAAAAACAGCTTTATTTATTGTTACGCTTGAATTATTTAACTTTAATCAGACAACAGCCAACATGAAAGACCCATAAAGACCCATGCAAGCATAGACTTGGGTGGTGGGTCACCAGTAGTTTATTTATGTTTGTGTTTTATATTTACAACTGAAGATTTCGTTTGATGGATTCTTACCAATTTGGTGCACCATACTTCGGAAAATACAAATTTCACCTTCGTTGGATTGTGGTGTCGATTTGCCAATTTAAAAGTGATTGTTGTGTCGTTTGCTGGATTGGATTATACATCAAATACTTCGGTGATCTTCCAAACGTTTGATACTGGAATGGAATATCCGTTTTCTAAATAGCGATCCCAGAAAAAAAATCGATAATTCCATTCGAAATAGTCAAGAATAAAAAAAAAAAAAAATATTTTTAAAACATTATTTTATTTTATAAAGCAGATTGTTCATCTGGTTTAATATGTTCAAAAAAGGTAACAATTTTTAGTTGTACTACACAGTGCAGCTGCTAAAAATTTAATGTTCTTGCTTTAGTTAATTCCGATTAAAAAAAAAAATTCCTAACTCCGAAGAAGTGAATAAATGTTGATGATAGCTGTTTAATATCGAGAGTTTTTTTTAAGAAGTATTCATCAAGCAATATTACAGTGCATTAAACAAATTTGAATTTATTTAAACAATATTTAGGAATATTTGAAGCACATTATGCTACACGTATAACAAGGAATTAATTATTTTTTTTCCTTGAGAAAGTATACACAAAAATTAACCCATCCCTGATCATTAACTTTCGTATCTCAAATATATTTTTTTTCAAGAAAAGCCTCCGCCCGCGCCCTCCTCCCTGTCCATGGTGGTTACACCCCCCTTCTAGGGCGTCGATCACACATGCCTCCCCCCTCTCCGCCCCGCCTCCATGCTTACAATGAAGAAACAAAACGTCAGAACTCTATCGCTCATCGTCTGCACCTTCACGTACCTGCTTGTGGGCGCCGCTGTCTTTGACGCCCTGGAGAGCGAGTATGAGGACTCCCAGCAACGGAAATTGTTCGATGAGGAAAAGGATATCAGCGACAAGTACAACATCACCAAGGAAGATTTGGAGCTGTTGAGGAAGAACATCATCAAATCCGTGCCGTACAAGGCGGGAACCCAGTGGAAGTTTGCTGGGGCTTTCTACTTCGCTTTGACGGTGATAACGACGATTGGTGAGTAGAGACTGTATTTGTGGTTATCCACACTGATGTGGTCAGCCACACAGCTGTGTGGTCTGTGGTTTCCCACATTACTGTGAGGGTTGTGATCAGCCACACAGATGTGAGGTCTGTGGTCAGCCACGCTGATGTGTGGTCAGTGCTTCTCAGCCACATTACTGAGAAGCACTGTGGTCAGCCACATTGCTGTGAAGTATGTGGTATGCCACACAGCTGTCATGTCTGTGGTCAGCCACACACATTCGATGGATGTGGTCAGCCACAAAACTGAGAGAGTTATCATGTACATTGGTTCCTGTGATATCTTCCTTTCCACTTTATCCTATGTACCCATGTTCATGTTAGTTAAATCTTAAAACGTATGTGTTGTAAAACACTCATTCACTATTGCTGCTCTGCATGTTCGCGTCTCCTAAACAAAAATTCTTGTCTTATAATGTACTTGACGTAACACGTCGTTTCGTCTTCTAAGATTCAATGCTTCTATTTTTCCTTTGTTTACATAGTGCAGTGTTTTAAGTCCCAATAGCGTATAATCACAAATATATAAGAGCCTCAGTTATACACTCTGAGGTCCCTATTTAATCGTGTTTTGTCTAGTGGCCTATCGCGCAGTAATTTTTTAAAGTGCAAATAACCTTGTATAAGTAGTTTAGGAGCACCGCGCTCACAAAATATATTCTGCACACACGCTTATGTTCCTTAGCAGGATTGTTGGTTACGATTAGGAGACTGGGTTGGGCCGGGGATAAGGATTAGATTTAGCGTTTATATTAGCAACAAATATATCCTGCCAATGTTTAAAAAAAGGTTTTTCTGTGTTGAAGTTGATAAACGCATCGCTGGATCTTTTATTACCTACTGTAGCGGAGTGTACATAAACACAACAGGGTTAGCCTGCTTACATATCCTAGGCAGCTTAGTTTATACAGACTGATGAAGAGATGTAAATCTTAACCGGCTCACACAAATTCTGACGTTTATATCATCGGCTGTGCGTATGTGACGTTCTCTGTGTTTGCACATTGATTGTGTATGTCGTGCGTGTTGTGGTGGGCACATATATCTCATGAGGAAGCACGCATGCGCATTGATTGTTGAATTATCTTCCGAATTTTGATTGAATGCTAGTCTCTATCTTCCATTTACGTATCTGTTCTCTGTTATTGTATTATTTATTAAAAAATCTATTTAAAAAAATCAATTTCGTCACACCTCGTGAGTTAGATGTTCTTGAGTCCATTCAGCCTTTTTGGGTACCTGGAACATGCAGAGTCAGTGGAGCTACCAGATATGAAGCTAAAATAAACGCTATTTTTCTCAGATGTCGAGGTCAGAGAAACATATAAATTATACTTCATCTGCTCCATTGAGTGTCTGGTCCTACTTTCTAACAAAAGTTCCTAAATTTTTCAAACCCGAGTTTTTTTTTACCTACCTAGTGACACCACACACACGCACGCGCGCGCGCGCACACACACACACACACACACACACACACACACACACACACACATATATATATATATATATATATATATATATATATATATATATATATATATATATATATATATATATATATATATAAATATATATATATATATATATATATATATATATATATATATATATATATATATATATATATATATATATATATATAATATACAAGTACGCACACACATACATACACACACACACGCACTCACACACACATTCATCAACTACAAGTACACGTCTAAAAACCTTCCTTATTTTATATTTAATAAAAAACAATACCCACGCCACAATCATCCGCCCACCTTTCTGTCCACATTTCACCTTCTATAACTATTCTATAACGATATTTCAAACGAACAACAATAATTGCACGAATAGCCATTTAAATTTAAAGACAACAAACTACTTAAATGGAACTCTAGAACTACTACCCAGTCAAGCGTGGACAGTGTAACAAGCGGATTTTCCCACGTGATCAATTTCACGCATGGATGAATCGACAAATTTAACTCACTTCTTAAAATAATAGACCGGGTCTAGGACAAAAAGACAGCGGCTGGGTACTCTGTTTTGCCTGACGAGCGCTGAGCTCAATAGGAAAAGGTCAAGCGGATGTTGTCTGAATGAAGTTCAATAAATGTAATATGAAGTATTTCGTAGTGTTGTTTTTATTAAGTGTATTTAGGTAGCTATAAAGAGGTGTTGTAGGTAGCATTGTCTAGTGTTGTAAGTAGAATTAGATGGGTATTGTAAGTACCATTAACTGGGTATTGTAAATAGCATTAATTAATTAGGTATTGTAAGTAAGATTAGCTGGGAATTGTAAGTAAAATTAGCTGGGAATTGTAAGTAAAATTAGCTGGGAAATGTAAGTAAAATTAGCTGGGAATTGTAAGTAAAATTAGCTGGCTATTGTAAGTGACATTAACTGAGGTTGTAGTAGAATTAGCAGGTGTTATAAGTAGCATTAACTTGTATTGTAAGTAGAATTAGTAAGGTATTTATAGTATTTATAAATAGCTTAAGGGATGTAACTCGATATTTAAGCATATTTTATAACAGTCATTTTGATAAATTAGTATTTGTTGTATGATTATTAATATAATTAGATAGCTTAATATTGTTTTACTTATCGTACCTAATTTTATTAATTTAAACTTTAATTTATTGTATTTAAAATTCTTTCTGCTGTAAATATTTCTTGGTGACCATTATTTTTCGTCAAGTCATAGTACTCCTTAAACGATCACGTATGCTTTAATTGCGATTCCTCAGCAACGAATACATAACAACTTTCTAGATAGTCTCTGTCTAAATAAATATTAAGAAAATTCAATTACACATTCGAAATTTCAGTTGTTTTTTTTTAATTAATAAAAAAAAATATTAATAAAAAACGTTAAATTAAAATAAAAATAAATAAATAAATAAAAATTTAAAAAAAATAATAAAAAAGCAAAAAATAAATAAAAATAAAGAACGTTAAAATAACAAGCTTTTATGTAATAATGTACTAAGAAGTAGAAAATAAATTATACACTACTATTTGAATAACCCAACTGACATACTCACATGCTAAGTAAATATCTCTGCCCTTGATACTCCACCTACCACTGACAACCCCCTAGCACATTGTTTAACCTACACATAGCTGGTGCATTAGTTCAGGATAGCACCATAACCCATTCAATGCTGGTGCATTAATTCAGGATAGCACCATAACCCATTCAATGCTGGTGCATTAATTCAGGATAGCACCATAACCCATTCAATGCTGGTGCATTAATTCAGGATAGCACCATAACCCATTCAATGCTGGTGCATTAATTCAGGATAGCACCATAACCCATTCAATGCTGGTGCATTAATTCAGGATAGCACCATAACACACTCAATGCTGGTGCATTATTTCAGGATAGCACCATAACCCATTCAATGCTGGTGCATTAATTCAGGATAGCACCATAACACACTCAATGCTGGTGCATTAATTCAGGATAGCACCATAACCCATTCAATGCTGGTGCATTAATTCAGGATAGCACCATAACCCATTCAATGCTAGTGCATTAATTCAGGATAGCGCCATAACCCATTCAATGCTAGTGCATTAATTCAGGATAGCGCCATAACCCATTTAATGCTAGTGCATTAATTCAGGATAGCGCCATAACCCATTCAATTATGGTGCATTAATTCAGGATAGCACCATAACCCATTCGATGCTGGTGCATTAATTCAGGATAGCACCATAACCAATTCAGTGCTGGTGCATTAATTCAGGATAGCACCATAACCCATTCAGTTATGGTGCATTAATTCAGGATAGCACCATAACCCATTCGATGCTGGTGCATTAATTCAGGATAGCACCATAACCAATTCAGTGCTGGTGCATTAATTCAGGATAGCACCATAACCCATTCAATGCTGGTGCATTAATTCAGGATAGCACCATAACCCATTTAGTGCTGTTGCATTAATTCAGGATAGCACCATGTAACAGTAGATGGGTAAGGCTATGTATGTAGGTAGCATTAGCTGTGTGTTTGATGTAAAGGTTGAACAGAGAGTTTGTTGTTACAACAGGTTAAAATACATGTGGGGTAAGATGAAAGGGCGAATTAGGAAAGTTATTAAAGTAACAGTTAAGTTACACTTTTGGACCTGACGGTCCGGGGAGCTTGTGAAGTAGAGTTTACCTAGTATGGTCAGCATTAAGCCCAATCGCTTCACTTTTAAGTGGACGGAGTGGTCTAGCGGTAGAGAGGTGGACTGCTAACACTTAAGTCTCGAGTTCGAATCCGGGTTCAAGTCAGTAGACCAACTCACGTTTGGGAAAATAAAGGCGGCTGGGCATATGCCGAGGTCACAGAAACAAATGAACTCTACTTCACCTGCTCCAAATACCGTCATGTTTGAAAAGGGAACTTTACTTTTTACATGGTCTCCTCATCCAACAAAGTTGTTTTTTTTTTTAAACGAAACGAATTCATCTGCTCTGTTAATCATCTGATCTGTTACTGATGTATAACAGTGCTTTCCTCTCATTCCAATTTTAGCTTCATTTAGTCCATACAGACTGTTTACGACCAGACATCCTACTGTGCCAATGATCTTTAGACCCATTCCTAGTTGTTACTGTTTCATTCATCACATTACACATCAAACCAACAACGTCACACATAAAACTCTATTATTAGATATCCAGTTTTTTCCTCCCATCAGCTGCCAAAAAAAATTACTCGTTTGGCCACATTTTGAGCGAGCCAAAATGGCGTGTAATATGACACCGGGCTATCGAGAAAATAAAAGCTTCTATTTTCAGCCTTAATATATCCCAGTTGACATATTAAACTAGAAATAAAGAACATCGTTTCGGTTTGTTAAGGTTTTATTTTTATTTTTTTCTACGATCGATACTTCGAAATTGATAGTTGTTTGTTTGAAATGGGTTTGGTCACTGGTGTGTAGAGTGGACAGTACGGTGG